ATGTTTAATTCAACTAGCAGCTTCAGTTTTTTCTAAACCTATTCAATGCAAATAAACGAACAATCAGATCTTTTGTCTTTATAATATAAATATATATACTTTTATAACATTTTTTAAAATATTTTAATACAACATTTAACTTACGCAGTTTTTTTTAAAAGGCATTTTTGAAAACACATGTTATTATGTTAGTTTTTTCTAAGACGTTTTGTATAATTGTTTCGTCAATCGAATGTCAATGTTAAACTGTGAAACTATGAGAAATAAAATAAACATTATTAGTATTAAACTAAACAATTATCATTTTTAATGTTTTACAATACGATATTTATGTAGGATGCTTTTAAAGCAAGAGAAATCAATGTATTAGACAATCTGCGAAACATATAATACAATTATGGAATACTAGCTGTCGCACGCGACTCCTTCCGGGCGGAAACAAAATAAAAAATACTACTACTCTGTATGTTCTTCCTAGCTATGATCTACCTATGTTGAGCCGTTCTGAAGAACCTTCTTACGAACGTCTATCCATCCATACATCTAAACATTCGTATTTATTAATTTAGTAACCTAACGTATACATCTTTGAAAACAAGAGTGAAAATAACGCTATGTATTATTGTTTAATTTCGCAGTTCTTAGCTTTACATTAATGTTCGTACAAAATTACATCACACCAAACATTTCTAATTACATACCCCGTATTCCTTCAATTTACCTTAATATAAATGTACCGTAGATAATTTTTGTTGCCCTTTCTGTACTACGCGTTAATCCAACAGAACAATGACGTAATTAATTCTAGCTATTTTAACAGAACGTTTTAAAAGTTTGAATTTAGAAATATGTTCTCTATCACTCTATTATCTTATATATATAAAAGAAAGTAGTGTTAGTTACACTATTTATAACTCAAGAACAGCTTTACCGATATAGCTGAAAATTGGTGAGGAGGTAGCTGAGTGCCAGGAGACAGACATAGGATACCATTTATTTTTTTTTTTTTTTTTGCGAATGTTTAGATGGATGTAATGTGGATGGATGGATGGGTGGGGCTACACTAATTAAGTTGTTATATATTCACGCGGACGGAGTCGCGGGCGACAGCTAGTTTATTTATATTTATACATGTTTTTCTACAATCTATAATATTTATATCATAGATAGAACGTTCTAAATTTGAATTTATAATGTTAATAAGTCTTTTTCTTTTTATTGGTATTTACGTCATTGTTCCAGATAAGCTATATATATAGATGTTTATAATCTATGTAAACATATTGTGCTTCGTCATTTTAAGCCTTCTTCTGTACATAAGACAAACTGTCAAAGTAGTCATAAATTTGATTATCACTAAATAGTACATATATTTAATGCTAAAGTCATTTATGCAATTTCTACTCGACTATGAACTTTAATTTTCTTTGACAAACTTAATAACTGCTCTTAGACTTTCCAAGTGCATTATAAATATTATCTTCTATTTGATACTACTTTCATATTAAAATAATATTCTCTTTGAATATATTTTTAGTCAGTTATTTTGTACCTTTATTTATAATATAATTCTAGTATATAATAGAAATTGATGCTAATAAAATCTTTTAAGTGTTACTTTCTTTCGTGTATTTATATACACGTTTTTGATGTAGAAATAAAGGCATTAGCATTATTTAGTTTCAGAAACTCAAATTCAGAAAAATATTACAGTAAAAGAATTCTATTTATAATAAAATTACAAAAGAACACTTGAGCAATGTCTTTTTCATTTATATTTATTCACTCGCTCGTTTATGAACTTTTTTATAAAATAATTAAGTTAAAAAAGTTGCAATTAACTCATTTCTTTATCTTTTCTTTTAACGTGTGCTTTGAAAATACCTCCGTTTACTTTACTTCGTTCTTTTCAATTGAAATAATCATTAGTTCTTTTAAATTTCTACGAAGTTCGGTTTAATTGGATTTCTTTTTTTCTAGTTTCAATAATTTTATATTAATGACTAGCTATCGCCCGCGACTCCGTGCGCGCGGAATTAAAAACAAACGCAATAAGTAGCCTATATGTTCTTCCAGACTATCTTCTAGATCTATACCAAATTTCAATTTCATGATGCTGTTCCGAAGATACCCTGAACAACAAACATCCATCCATCTAAACATTCACATTTAAAATATTAGTTAAGTTTTTTTCTATTACTAATTTACTTAGTTCCTTTTAGAAAACTTTAGTTTCATAAATTGACTGTAGCTTCAGTTTGTTGCGTTATGAAGTAACATAAAAATTTACTAACATAGTCACAAGAATACCGAAACTGATAAAGTTAAGTTACTATAACTATAAATTGCAATATAACGTTCAAGCAAAGTTTATAAAAGTTAACATTGATTCTACAAAACGATGTAAGTTTAAATTATAAAGAGAAGCTATCATGTCTTGTTTACCGTACCATGACAGCTGTTTATCTACATTTTTCTAAATCCTTTGATATTACTCGTGCTTTTTCTTGATGAAATATGAATTTATAAAGCGTATAACATAATTATTGTGCACTGAACATATACCATGAGCATCTAAATATATAGCCTTTTCCATCATTTATCCAAAAATGTAATTCCTTACGCGATATGAAAATTGGACTCACTGTGGGTTTCTAAGACCAAAATCGCCATTTAAAACATATTGTCGTCATTTTCTGCTCATCTGCATTTCCTCTGGCGTTGTGGATGTCCATGGTGTGCCGTTAATCATCTGTGTTATCGCCGCTAGTTTTCTCCCTTCTCTTATAAAAAAAATGTTTTGTCAAAAAAATGACAGGGATATAATTTATACACAAATTTTGGTCTCAGAAACCAACTAATTCAGTCATATATCACGGTTACCAGTGTCAGATTTTCCGTCAGTCAGACAAACCACACGTAACATTTGCTAGCATTTAGCGAGTGTACGAATAGTGTGAAAAGGATCCATTAGTAGCGACAGTTGCCCTCAAAAGTAACGTACACGTTCCACACTGCCATTAGGGCAGTGACACACTTTGTTGCACTCTATATCTGACAATGTACTTTCAAAGTAAATGCATATAACTTACATTCAGGACAGACGTTAACATCTTCCAACGTAAATAGAAAATTAAATAAAGAAATTAAGTGCATTTTTTTCTTCTTTATTATTGTGTGTCACTAGCCAGTGTGGGGTAAACGAAACAGTTTTTAGTCTTCTAAATAAACCTATTATTAACCAACAATTTTATTCAAATTTAAGTAATAATTCAAGTAAGATGACGAGTTTTAAGAAATAATTGCAGTGAGTTTTATATTTTAATTCCCAATACTTATTCTGTAATTGAAATACTTTAGAATAAATAAACAAAAACAAATTGTAGATTTCACAATCAGTGCTAAAATATATCTTCTTTTAGTATACAATAGTGATTAAACATCAATGTTATACAAAATTAAATAGAATCTCTGTATTCGCCTGTCAAATACTCCGGCAATAAAGTCTAAGCAAGCTTTCACTAAACATCGGCGTGCGTCAAACCCTTTTCGCAAGTCGAAACAGGCCGCAAGCTAAGACGAGAACTCCAACTATTCAAGAGCCAAGTGGCCTCACAAAGACTTAAACGAGCGTACAACGCATGTAGCTTTCTATAACCCTTGTAGGTATAAACTTAGTAGGTACCTATTCAAAACATCTTAATAAGACATTGTTAAAAACGTTAACCAATAGTCAACATATTAACATAAATCCAACTAGGTTAAACACTTTTTCGATGGCAACCGTATACTGAAGTTGTTAGTTGAAGCGACGTTTTAATTTAGTTTCATAACTCTCTATCTTACAGTACTCTACATAAATGTATATTTTTAACATTCAATTGTCAATTACCTCTATTTTACTGGCTCTATTTTTTCCGGTTTAATAGCTACCTCACAATATAGCACGGGTTCATGCACATTCATAGTTGAAAAACAATGTATCATAGACTATGAATCTGTGCGGTTGATTAGTTCATAATCTATGGTGGGTACGTACTTTCATAATTAGACACCGCAAGGGCTCTGTCAACAGCGCGCTTGGCTGCCCAACTGTGACTTGATATAAAAGCGATTACAATCCTTGACCGTGCAAATAATTGTCCGAAATAGCCCAAAGCTATGAGTAACATAACTTTGATATAAAATAGGGACGGAAGGCTAAAGAAGAAATTCAACCTTACATTGGGACAAATCAAAAATCATATAAAAAGGAATGGGGCTGCTGTTAGTTTGCATTTAAAACTTACTTCAAACTCCAGTCTTCTTGTAGTAGAAGTTTGTTCTTATTTGTGAATTAGTAATATATCAACAGTACAAAGTAATTCAACACACTATAACAATATAAATTTCAAGAAAATTCCTCGTATATGCAAAGCTGTGAATCAATTCCCGTAGCATGAGAAAACATCAGCTCCAGTGAACTGATACGAGTAAACCGTGAACAAAATGTTCACCCATTAACTTCTGCAGCTATTCTTGTGAACTGGAATGATTACGCTGTGACAATCATTAATTAAACTTTGAGTTATTGTATAACAATGCACAGTAGACTCTTTTATATGTGATCTTACAATTTTACTCATATTTATATGCAAATGTTTAGATGGATGGATTAATTGATGTTTGTTTGAAGGCATCTCTGGAACGGCTGAACGGATCTCCATGAAATTTGGCATATATATAGAACATAGTCTGGAAGTACGCGTAGGCTAATTATGTCTTTTTTTGACCGCTAGTTTTGATAATAATAAAACATAAGATTATTTTCTACTTAATACAACTTACTACAAAAAGGTACAAGAATGATTATCTCTTGATGTTATTGCTACAATACCAAATTAAAAGTTTTGGACTCAGTGTGGAAGTAAACGCGTGCCCCTAAATGATTGTGTTCATGATTTTTAATACTCTTGTTATTTAAGTATAGGGTTTTCATTGCTATAAGTTCATTGTTACAGAATGGTTCGCCCCACTTGCCTGCTGATCTGCTGCCTCCTTGGAGCGCTGATGCTGGTGGTACCTGCAGCTTCCTACCCCAGGTAGTGGTATATTATACACTAAAGACGTTAATTAAAGTCCAACGACATAACAACTTAATTTGTAGGGATTAACAAAAAGGACTCAGGGTTGCAATCCACGTCCTACGGCTGCAACCCTGGTAGAATGCGATCCGTACTTTGTTTTTTCAAACATTGGCAATGGTCTAAGATCATGCTATTAATAGAAAATATTGTAGTAGGTACTGCAAGTTTAGATTTTCGTTGAATCAACGTTTAACGGTCGCTAAGGGCAACCCTTATTTTAAGTGAAGTGATTTCGTGAAGATTACTTTGAAATATCTTGTTACTTGTAAGAATTCAATTTCCGCAAATATACGACTTGCTCGTATTTTGCGTGAAACATCTTTTTTACCGTGAATTTCTGACGCCAAAATACAAAATAAAAACAGAGATAAAAATATATTTTAAATGGGCGATTTCGGTCTCGGAAACCAACGGTAAAAGTTCTTTATAAATTAATGTTTGATTTATGTATGTATTTAAGTTTGAACGACTACTACCGCCCCGACATCTCGGAAGACCCCGAAGAGATAATGGACATGCTGAACCGCCTCGGAAGCCTCATCCAACTGCAGCGCCAAATGGACTCGTAAGTTCATATACTTTGAATTCAAAAAAATATGACAATCGAATTTTATGAACTTATATAAGTTGCACCTCCACAACAAGGACGATATTATATAATACTAAAGTCTGACCGTACACTTCCTCTCATGAAACATCTTTACAACAAATTGTTATCTCAGTTTCTTTATTAAGATTAGAAGCCTATTTTACAATGTCTAAGTAAAGTACAGGATGAGTACGTAATAAATAAATTATTTTGACAGGAATTATCAACTGATACACAATACTTCTTTGTCAGAATAGTTTTACGTTTCACAGCTAATCTGGAGTTTGTGAAACGCCAACGACGTCTTTATTTAACAAATAAGTTCCAAGTAGCTTTTTCTAGAATACGATTATGATATTATTACTTGAACATTGTGAAACTCGTCCTAAAATAAATAGCAATGTTATTATGTACCTATTATTCGGTAGAAAAAGTTACGGTAAAATATACCTTATTTTATTATGTAATGAAAAATATTAAGTAATTAAAATTGAAATATAAAGAAGATTTTCCTTTTTTATTTACATTATAAAGGTCACAATAAGCAGTCGGAATCTAAGAGTTCTCATAAACTTCAAAGCTTTATACCAAAAAAATTTAATAAAATTCTGCGTAAACAATATCAGATTTTTGTCTTTTGTCTCTGATCTTCTTAATTTAGGTGGATTATACTGATTTTTTACTAAGGCTTGAGCCTTGAAAAATGTACTTGAGTACATTTTTTTAATTTAAAGTCCCATATTTTAATGTAATTTTCTTTTACAGCTACAAAGATGGTATTACTAGGTATGTCTTTAAAATAGTGCTTGTAGTAATATTTGTTTTAAGTTATCTTTGAAGCATATACATATGTACATATAACTAGTATATAACATTTGAAAGAGAGATTTATGTTGTTCAATTGCATGGACTTCTTGTTTCAAATATTATGTACTTATTTACTTTTTAAATACTGATTATATGTTTAATACATAATTAATTTATACATAATCAAATAAATCAGCTATTTTTTTATGCTTTAAGATGGAATAATTTTGCGTGCTTTTATGTTCTTCTTACAATTTTCATATAATAAATACTTTTTCTTTATCGAAATCGGATAACTGAATTATTATGTCCTTTCTAATATTGTGGAAGTATATTTATATTTAGGTCGTGTAATGTTTTCAATGGTAAGAGATTTTTACATACAGAAAGTTAGAAAATAAACTAAAGCGAACCATAAAATGAATTCATGAAAACGTAATGTATGTTGATGAGCATTAACGGAAAAAGTTTTGTGGAAAATACTATTTTCTGGAGAGAAATTTTCTTGAAAAATCTCTTTTACATTTACCGGTGGAAAGAATTACAAGTTTTCATCGCTTTTCCTTTTCCAAAATGATTTAAAGAAAATTTAAATTCGTAGAATTGTGCATGCTAGGTGCTTCGAAGATGGCTTATATTTACAGACATTCAACATTTGCTTAATTAGACGCGACAACACGAATCAAAACCCAATATGGATTTAGAACTGCTTTAACTTTTACGTTTATCATCATCATCATCAGCTCACTATACGTCCCCATCGAGGGGCTCGGAGCCTACCCTAAGTAAAGGGTGATTAGGCCATAGTCAACCACGCTGGCGAAGTGCGGGTTGGTTGACTTCACACATATCTTTGAATTTCTTCTCAAATATGTGCAGGTTGCATCACGATGTTTTTCTTCACCGTAAGAACGTCGGATTTACGTTTATAGTAGAGAAAATTTTGATTAAAATATTTATAGTCATGTTTTGTATGTCCGCTTTGTTTTTTGGAATGTTAGAATGTCTTGGTTTTAATATTTCTTTGTGTTACAGCGAGAAGCGTGCTCTTGACCTTGGCCTGACCCGTGGTTACTCTGGCGCTCTTCAAGCCAAGCACCTGATGGGCATTGCTGCAGCCAACTACGCTGGAGGCCCCGGCAGGAGGCGCCGTGACGCACACTAAACACATACGCTAATCACTTCCGTCTTAACTGTTTAGCTGTAATACATTCTCTAGGAGGCTTGTCTAGTCACTTGTCAACTTTAAATTTTTAATAATTACAAAATGGCCTATTATTTAAATTTCTATTTTTAGATTAAGATTAATATACAAATATTTGAGTTCTTTTTATCTTTTGAAATTAATTTTTAATTAATTTATTTAATATTGAAGATGTTTTTTTAATTTGTCGTTAAATTTCAATTATTTATTAATCAGGATTTTATCGAACAGTATTAAATGTATTAACCAGTAGATTTCTTGGTAGTATCTTTCGAATAATGTTGAATATTTTAATTTACTAACTTAACTTCAAGTATGATTTTTCTATTTTAAGTTCACTATAGATGTTTGTAAGTGATTTCAAGTTACTATTCCTATGTATGTAGAAAAATTATAGATAGTTATAAGAGAGTGATAAATACCTTCTGTCTAAATTTTACTGTTAAAGAATAAAGAGTTATTCATATTGAGAATTTTTGTTTTCATTACTTTTATGTATACTTATGTACTCTATGTACTATTATGAAAACTAAATCTTATTGAGCAATGATTCAGTTTTTTAATATTTGTTTTAAAACCTGCATTACTTTTTAATTAAATGCCCATAGACATACGCAATTGCATATGTGCCTAATCGAAGGAGGAGAGGATACACAGAAAGAAAATATTTTCCCTTCCCATGCATCCTCTCACCCGGGAAGTCCACTTCCACTTCCCATCCTTTCCTAATAAGTAAAAGGTTGGGAAGGGACAGAGGATTAAATTAGGCCTCCGGGACGCACACTCATCGGACGAGACACGTAATTGCTTCCACTTCACGTCTGTCTTCTGTGTGGTAGTAGTATTTCAGCGGGCGAGCCATGCCGTGCGAAGATTTTAAAGCGGGCTCTACCGCTGTTACTTTTTCTCATATATAAATTAAATAAAAATAGTATACCATAAATAACCTACCTTTATCAAATGTAAATGAATAAATTATACTTCTGACCACATTATTTAAAGAAAAAGATCTTATTACTATATTATACATTTATACATTGAACTTTTAGAAGTTCATTTAAGAATGTCGCGAAATAACATTTCAAAAGGTGAAGGATTGTTGCACTTAAACTTATAATAATATGCATACTGTGTTGGGAGACTAAAATCTCTGTGTAAAACATATCTTCATTCCTATCACTTTCTTTGTCAAAAGAGAAATAATTAGTTAGTCGGTTAGTTGGTTAGTCGCATTATAAAATGACAAAATTTAGTACTTATCCGTGACATACATCTTTTATAAATATTAAATAGAATAAATGAGTATCATTACTCAGATAGAGACGTTTGTTTCAACAAAACAGAAGTGACCGGCCTCGGAAATATCAAACCTTCATTAAAATGTATGCAGATGGACCCCTCGTAGACAAGGGTAACTCAACTCATATTGATGACCTGCAGATCAGCTCACGGTTATCATGTATAATAGAGCAATAAGGCGGCTCTCAGTCCTTTAATTGAGATGACTCAATTAAAGTATCTACATTGAGCTATGATTAATGTTTCGAGCTGTGAGCTGTGAGTCATGAGGCAATAAGAGATGTAAAGCGCACACGAGTGGACGCTCTGCCACTCGTCCACTGATTCGCTTGACTCGTATAGTTATTGTAGGTCGCGTTGAATTACGGTTCCATTGTTAGTTGTTGAGTCGCAGCTCAATAGTTCAAGTCTACGTTACCTTTACTTCTGAGTCGCTTCAGATTAACCCACGTCTAACCCCGTATATTGGCCACAGCTTTGTAACATGAATTATTTAAATACATAAGCTTCTTAGTTGCCCTTTTCCTTTTGTAATACATACGTCTAAACAATAGCAAAAAGTAAAAATGATAAAGTTTTTCTACAATTCCGTCTCTCCCGAAATAGATTTTTTATTTGATCGCTTTCTTTTGGTAACAAAGGGAATTGTAAATGTGTAGGCCTAAAATTATTTATAGATAAGATTGGTGGTTACTCTATGCTTAAGATAAACTTATGATATTAAGCACTATGGCACACCGGACGATAAATTACATAAAATATATTAAAAAAAAACCTATCAAAAATTTATTAAATATTTTGACCTTAGCGCCATCTATTATAGTGCCGATGATACTATAACACGGTTGGTAAAGTTTTGTGCGGGTGTGTGTTTAATATTTAATAGTTTGTTATTATTCCCATAGATGTCGCTACTAGTATTCTTAGTAATTTTTTTGAAAAATCAATAAAAATTTAGTCGGGTAAGTTATTTTTGCGTATTACGTAGATTGGATATGAAACAAAAACGTAACATTTAATGTAATAATTTTCTAATTAGAAAACAATGCTTTCGAAACAGTAACAAATTTGAAAACGGTTTTTTATTTGAAGATGCACAAATACAAATAAATAAAACTAAATAATAAAATTATCTATTTCTTGTTTCAACGTTTGATAATTGATGATTTTAACTAGATTTAAGAACTATCCCTGAGTAAATAATAGGTATCAAATAGAAATAAAATAAGTATTTCGTCAATAATGCTGTATCCCGTATGGTCTAGTGGCTAGGATACCTGGCTTTCACCCAGGAGGCTCGGGTTCGATTCCCGATACGGGAAAAAACCTTTTTGCCTTTCATTCAAAAATTTTTATTTTTTTTTATTTTGCCACATTCTACTTAATGCGTAGATTTATTGTAATTCATGATTGATTAAAATTGACTCAGTTTTAAAACTCGTAAAAATGTGAATCAGTATATTCCTAGCCTTATTTTTCATTCCTGGCATTTCCACTAATTATGACATAAATAACAAAAATAGCCCTCAATTATACAAAGAAAACATATTATTATGCATTGCGTTTATATCTAAGGGGGTGAATAAACAAAGGTGGCAGGAAGAAACGGCGCGAACACATCCATTATATTAAGACCCTCGATACTAACACCATTCCAGCTTTTAAAATGGAATTGCGCAGTATTAACGGGCCTATGTTACCTGGTCGTTAGGGAGTTGGAAGTAAATTGTGTATCCACATGAATGCTTTACTAATGCCGTTGAACATATTACAATATAAACTATGACCAAGATTTTCCTGACAGGAGTATTTTTTTTATAACAGTACGTCGCCCGAGACATCACAGGCAGGTTTAAAAAATATATAGTTACCTATTCTCAGTAAATATGCATATAATCTTTATATATATAATTCTTCTGTGAGTGTGTATGTCACTGAACTTCTCTCAAACGACTGGACCGATTTTGATGAAATTTTTCGTGTGTGTTCAAGGGGATCTGGGAATGGTTTAGATTCACAATTTTCATCAAATATTAACTTCATATTAATTTATTCAAATTAAAGACGTGTTGACAGGACAACGTCTGTCGGGTCCGCTAGTCTTATATATAATTCTCGTGTCACAATTTTCGTTCCCATACTCCTCCGAAACGGCTTGACCGATTCTCATGAAATTTTGTGAGCATATTGAGTAGGTCTGAGAATCGGCCAACATCTATGTTTAATCCCGCGCGGACGGAGTCGCGGGCGACAGCTAGTATTTCATAAAAATCGGTCAAGCCGTTTCGGAAGAGTACGATAACAAATATTGTGACACGAGAATTATGTTAACCTTTTTGAAGATTATGATCCTATTTGATTTCTCAGACTACTGTTAAGGTTCAAGTAACATTTTTTCCGATGTCCACGACCACGAAGATGCAGTGGAAGCAATTCGGCATTTCGTTTGATTTATGTATATGCCGTACAATTTTTTTAGAATTAAAAGGGGACGTGGACTTGATATGTCCAGTTCTATGAAACGTATAGTATCAGAATGAATCCTCTTTCTACATATCCCTCCTTCTTCGATTAAAAGTTTGCGACACATCTTTATTTATTGTCGATATCTATTGACAGCGGTAATTTTTAAATTTCATTGAATTAAGACCGGCCATTTTCTTGTTTGTCACCTTATAATATTGAAAATTACAATTCACCAACTAAACAAATGTCAAAAAACGAGTTCAGAACTTTCTCGTTCTCTTTTTAAAAATAGAGTTAACAATAAATTTTCTACGTGTGACAGTGGGAACTTACAGCAATGTCAAGTTGAAGTACGGCCGAATATATAAGTGCGTTTTCACTTCAATGTGTTTAAAAGTCGTTAGAGTCATTTTTAAGCTAATTCAAGTCAACAGTTTGTCCCGTGACCGTTAACATAAATTTTAATTGGAAATTTTGGTATTTGTTCGACGCCAAAAATATGTTAAGTTATGATAATAGATAAGACCACTGACTGACTGTTAATGGTCTGAAACAAATAAGTTTGCTCGGTGCGTTTTATTTTTATTCTTTTCTTTTTTTGTCGGTGTCGATTGCCAGAATACTCGTATCAAAATACGTGGATATTATTCGTTTTCAATGTCTATAAAAATATATTATAACTAAATATGTTTCTGTATGAATGTTTAGGGACAGGAAACCCATCATTTTATAACGCAAAACTTTAGCTTTGGATTATACTAAGGGACTACATACACTTATAACTTCGAAAACCGATAATTTAAAACGCGTAACTTACGCAATACACTGTCATAGCAGTTCGTACAAAGCGCGCGTTGCCGACATTTCTGTCATCGCTAAAGACGCTGACAACCTGTTTGTCAATATCATCGTGAGCAAAGTCGCTACAAACAAGATGGCGGAAAAATCTATATAGATGACATGTGCCGCTATTGCCTCTACTAAGCGAACGATTCGCGATTCTCTTGACGCAATCATACTATAACAGTTTCAACGATTTACTTTGCCTTGTGTACGTTGGCCTTATAGGTACTATGTAGGCTGATCGTGTTTTTATTTCTAGCATTGATATTTTAAACTTTTCAATGACACTATGATATTCATTCAACGGTTTGTAATTAAAATAATATCCATTGTTCAAAGGGTTTATTAATAAAATTGACCTTTTTATATGTCGGCGGTCACAATAACTATTCAACATTCAACTATGTTAAAGTTATGCATGTTAAATCAATATAAAATAGCAGACGTAAGTAAATCGCTTAGTGGAATAAAGGCTTAAACGTCATTAAAAAACCGTCGCCTGTTACTTCTAACTCAACGCAATGTTATTTACAAAAAAAGGGTCTTGACAGACGGACGCACGGGCAACAAAGTGATCCTATAAGGGTTCCGTTTTTTTCCTATGAGGTACGGAACCCTAAAAAGTCGAATTTCATTATTATTTAATTAAGAATCGTATCAAACGCTATGGAAAAGGTCCATCTGATTTTAATATTATAGCAAATATAACAAGTAAATGTTTACACAATGAACTTCTTTTTTTATGTCGAAAATTAGAAGGCTTTTTTTATTTTGATTTTTTTTTGTTACTCGAGAAAATCTTTGATTAAGTACACGTCAAACAAAAATGTTTGAAAGTGTAATTATTTTAAATTAAAAAATAGAGATAGAAGACGTAAAGGGAGACAGCGTTTTAGTGTAATTTAGTAAGTTTTTAATATTGTAAAAATAATAAAGTAAAATTAACAGATTCTCTTTATATTTTGAGGTTTGTATTTTAAATCAGAATAGACACGTTAAATAATTTTTTTAAATTAATGTGCAAATTTTCACAGATCTCTGAACACAAGCCTGTGCCTCGCCGGTGCTACTTGTGAAGGAAAATAGAAAGCTAAATTAATACTCCGCCTAAAATAAAAGCTTTAAAAATAACCAAAGGTTGCACAGGGTGTTCCAAATTTGTACTACTTTTTTTAAAAGGGCAATTTACCAATAATAATTAAAAAAACACTGATAAAAATAGCAACAAATATATGTACTAAATAAATTAGTAAAATATTTTATTAGTTATAGTTTGTTATCTATTTTCTGGTAATATAATCAAATTTTAATTTATAACAACCTTATTGTGATAGACATAACATTTATCTTTAAACTATCGAGTCCGTTTTTAATTTATTTTTGAAACATCCTGTACATTTTGTTATATAGACTTTTCCACTTGAGAGATTGCACCCGCTTGCTGTGAAGAAGGTTGGGCACGTGAACCTCCTCAGTATATTTAAAAATAAAGATCGATTAGTTACCATTTTATTTAAAAAAAAATTGTTAGTTGAGAGCCCAAAAACTGACCAGAGTAACATGTATCAAAGGGGTTCCCAGCCAACGATTAAGGGGGATTGGGGCTCTAGTAGTATTTTTTCATTAAAAAGAAACGCTTAGACATAATTATGGTCTATTATTTTGTAGAAAATTATGACAGTAGCTATGACTCCATCCCCTAGCTGTAAATATCAACTGTCGAAGTACTCTCTTTAATTCTCCTTAAAAATTACGAGGGATACAGAGAACCATATGTTTTAATAAAAGTTAATCCGTGTTCGAACTTGACACTAAGTCGGTTACTAGGCATAAATCATTTAAAAAGAAAAATCACTAGGTATATAGGTATATTCTTCTATTTCCAGTTCATTAAAATTTCTTCTATTCTGAAGTTCTGCAATAAAAAGAGAAGCTACATTAATGCAATTGAGGTTGGGACTTAACCTTCGCAAGGACAACGATGAAATATAGATTCTAGATGTGACATTGCGACATAGCTTAATACTGTCTGTAATAAATAGCTAAAATACAAAATAACATTGGTAGAACAAACGCTTCGGTGGAGTCTAGTTGTTACTACAAACAATATTTTAATTACACAGTTTATGAATAAAATTGTAGCATCTAAAAATTTAATTAAAATGAGTATCCTTTATTATAATGGATGAGCAATTATATTAAAGGATACTGTTTTCAATCAACAATCTTAAAGCACTTTAATTTACATTTATTTAAATTGTTTTTAATTTATAGACTTTTTTTATGTGTTCGCATGTTTTGTTAATATTGTAATTAGTAGTTAGTTTGTTAAATAACGATAAACTTTCCATTTCCTGTAGTTATGCATAAAACAGTGAAAAAGCGACAACATTGTTGACTATGAAAATCTAAATATAAACATACACACAAACATGCTAGCTAAGTTTTTTTTTTCTTTATTGTTCATTTCCAGATGAGAAGGGTGAGTAAGAAAATGAAAAATTAATAAAGACACTTCCATTCGTTTATATTCTCTTTTCAAAGAATGACGTAATTCGGCGTAGGCGTAGGCCGGGGGTAAAGTTCTACGCTTTAATCGGTCAATGCCGAGCGGGAGGCTTACGAACGCCCGACTTATTTATAGTTACGGTATTTATGTTGGCAATACCACTTACCTAATCGTTTAAGGCACTCCTCGTCTAAATTAATACTTAAATTAAACTATTGTCTTATTAGTCACGTGATGAGTAAGAGTGAGGTGAGTAAATTAACAATGGTAGCGGCAACAACATCTGTTTCATGTACTCGTACTTGCCGGCTCGCCCGTTGAAATACTACGAACACAGAAGATAGGCGTGAAGAGCGTAACTCTGCGTTTCTCTGACGAGTCTGCGTGACGGAACCCTTAGAAGCCTTCGCTACCTGTTTGTCAAGATTGTCGTGAGAAAAATGCGATTTTCAAGATGGCGGACAACTCGCCTTGGGTATTCAATGTTGGTTGCACACAACTCAATACTCACGACACAAGTATACTATTATTTTAGAAGATTTACGTTGCTTACTATGAAAGGTTTTTTCATTAGAGAAATCTTTGGTCACATAATTAATTAAAAACTAAAGTAAATGTAACTTCTAATACTAGAAAATATGTAAATTTTAAGTTAATAATGCAATGAATCCCAACTTTTCAAAACAACAAACTGTTAAGAAGAAAATCCGAAAATGTGCCAGTGTATTGACCCAACACTAGCCTTACTAGATGTCGACGTTTATGTCCCCTCACTATTTCATTCTGACACTGGATTTTGTAACGAAAGCACGTCATTCACGCCAAAGGATGTCTAAAAATACAAATAAATCGATAATCTCCTCTTTGAGTTGTAGAGAACATAAAAACAAACGGCAAAGTTATTAAACATTCCTGGATATTGCTTGCTTATAAAAGGTTTCATGAAAGTCGGTAAATTTAGCATTTATTATTTCACTCACTTGATTCCCTCATATCTGTTTTATTGCGTACAACGGCTTTATTTATTCAATCACAGTTTTATTATTGTTTAGATTTCTTGTTTTGCCATATTGTGAATCGAAACCAGGGATCGTACAATCCTTTATAGTAAAAGGATCAATGAACAACTCCTAATTCTTTACAATAAAAATATGTGAAGGGAAGGACAGGAAGAAGAAATATTCTCTTTCTGTGCATCCCATCCTCCGTCTATAAAATTTAGGCAACGCATCTCTAATTGCGCATGCCTAAGGACAGCATTCGCTTCGCTTTTTCGCTTGCCACTTTATAATCGCTTGCCACTTTATAACTATATAAGAGCGTCGGTGGCTCAGGGGTCAAGCACTTGACTTGCAATCTTCAGGTCCTGGGTTCGAATCCCGTCATGTACCAATGTGTTTTTCGATTTCCGATATACATATGTACATTTATCCGACGTTCTTACGGTGAAGTAAAACATCGTGATGCAACTTGCACATATCTGAGATGTTAATCAAAGATATGTGTGAAGTCAACCAACCCGCACTTGGCCAGCGTGGTTGACGATGGCCTAATCACCCTTAACTTAGGGTAGGCTCCGAGCCCCTCGGTGGGGACGTATAGTGACCTGATGATGATGATGATGATGACTTTATAATATAAAAAATTACATAATACAAAAACAAATTAGAAATTCATTTGTTTGTTTGAACTGCATACAAATCTAAGAATATATTTGGAAACCTACTTTTTACTTATCCATCAGGGCGTAGTTTTAGTAGTTTTTTCAACGCACGTACGAGCATCATTTAATCAGTAAATACCTCCGGCATTGGGAATATGCAAAATTGTTAATTCAGATAAAAAAACTGCTGATTTCTAACTTGATAGATTGCTTTTAAATCAGCTATTTAATTATTGTATATTTCAGAATAAAGTTTATTCCGGTCCTGACTACACACAAGTGCACAAGATGGAGAGAACTGTTGTGTTTCTTTTGTTTATTGTCATTGTAAATCAACATGTTTTCTGTGAATATGTGTTCAGATCTTTACTGTACGAGAACAGAACTGATCCAGCTACTCGTCAACTCTACGAATTTAGGAAAGACCATCCGGTAAGATCCTTATTTTTCTTTTATTCACCATATTTTCTCATCATCTTCACTGTCTTTTAATTTACAACCACTTTCAAAAGCTTTAAGTAATGGTAAAACTACCTATTGCCTGCGACTTCGTCCGCGAGCCATAACAAAACTTTATAAGTACTCCGTGTTCGTCTAGATTATGTTCTACATTTTTGCCAAATTTCATCAAGATCCGTTGAGCCGTTCTGGAGATACCTTTTAACAAAAATCCATCTATCCATCCATTCGACTAAACTTTCTTATTTATAATATTAGTAAGATGATCATTTTAATTTACTTATCAACTATCTCATTTTTGAAGCATAGGACAAGCGGAATGTGACTTGTTGTTTCTTTAAATTAAGGGAGTACAGTAGACTTAATTTAAATTAAAAAATTCATATTTTATTTACAACTTTCAGAAACCAATCGGCCTGTTAACAATTAGTTCAGGTGAGCCCGTGGACGTTCGAAAGACGATCACATTGAACACTGATATTTTTGACAATACATATTTCGTCGACTCTTTATTACATCTAGACTCTGAAGTTATACCAGAGAGAGTCGTTCATGCTAAAGGTACAGCAGCTTGGGGATATTTCGAAGTAACAAATGATGTATCCAAATATACTAAAGCTGATGTTTTTAATGGAATTGGAAAGAAAACACCCATCGTAGGAAGATTTTCAAGCGTCGCTCAAAACAAAGGAGGTAATGATCTCGCAAGAGAGGCAAAAGGATTGGCGATAAAATTTTATACTCGAGAAGGTAACCTTGATTACCTATGTTTAAATTTTCCAGTTTTCTCTTTAAAAGATCCAGAATATTTTAAATCTTTCGCACATATTTTGAAAAGAAATCCTCAAACTAATTTAGTAGATAATACTGCTAGGATAGACTTTTTCTCTTTAAGACCTGAAACTTTACATAATGTTCTGTGGCTATTATCCGATTACGGAATACCTAATGGCTATCGAAAAATGGATGCCTTCGCAATTCACACATATGAAATAAACAATAGAAATGGTGAAAGATACTTTGTCAAATTTAATTTTAGAACTCAACAAGGCATAGAAAATTTGCCATCCGACGAAGCAATTCGAATAAGCGGAATGGATCCGGATTATTACAATAGAGATTTATACAATGCGATTGAAAAAAATGATTATCCAGTTTGGAAATTCGAGATGGACGTTTTAAACTTTACAGATATTCTAAATTTAAATTACAATCCTTTTGATGTAACAGTTTTGTGGAAAAAGGGAACATATCATACAGTAGAGATTGGGAGAATCATTTTCAATAGAAATCCGGACAATATGTACAGAGTATCGGAACTAAGTGCATTTAATCCTGCAAACTTAGTTCCCGGTATACCTGGCCCCATTGATGAATTATTTAAATCACGCCGACTATCATACGGCGATACACAAAAACATCGTTTAGGTGCAAATTATAACAGAATAGAAGTAAATCATCCAACATACGTTAAGGTTTACAATCGTGACGGTGAACCTCCTGTTGAAGATAATATGAAAAACGCTCCTAATTACTATCCAAATTCATTCAGTGGACCTATTCCATATGTTGATGCAAGTAAACCTAAGAATAAACTTTCATTGTTAGAGAGTCAGACAGCAGATTTCCAGGAAGCGGCATATTTCTATAACCACGTGTTAGACAACGATGACCAAAGGACTAGATTAGCAAATAACACAGTGCAATTACTTTTGCAAAACCCACCGTTCCTGCAACAGAGATGGATTAATTTGTATTACATGATTGATTATCATTTAGGAGATGAAACTGCCTCACTTTTGTATAGAGCATTAAAATATACTAATACAACTATTGTACCGAGGAAGATATTGAGAGTTCCAAGAGATAAATGTTACTAAATATTTGCAAGAGAAGAGAAATTAATAAAGAGAAATGAGAAATGAAGCGCACAAACAAAACTGAAGAAGAGAAAGCTTCGACTATTACCTAACTATGTATCTTAAGTTAATTAAAAATGTATTTCCTTTACAAAATATAAAGAAATTGAATAAAACCTTTTTTGATATTTTAAAAGGCTTTATTGATTAAGTCAGACCAATATTCGCTTCGTCTTGAATATACTCCGTTATGATGCATCGATATGAATAATTCATCATCATCATCATCAGCCCACTATACGTCCCCACCGAGAGGCTCAGAGCCTACCCTAAGTTAAGGGTGATAAGGTCATAGTCAACCACGCTGGCCAAGTGCGGGTTGGTTGACTTCACACATATCTTTGAATTTCTTCTCAGATATGTGCAGGGTGCATCACGATGTTTTCCTTCACCGTAAGAACGTCGGATAAATGTACATATTTAAATCGGAAATCGAAAAACACATTGGTACATGGCGGGATTTGAACCCGGGACCTGCAGATTGCAAGTCAAGTGCTTGACCACTGAGCCACCGATGCTCACAATAATGAATATGAATTATTAGTTGAATTTAATTAACAACATGTAATTGACTTAAATTATCCAAGGCAACAGTCCGGTTAAATATCTAATTAATTACTTTCGTAATTATTCTAGGAATATTAAGGATGTATTATAATTATTTTAATTAATTTCTGTACAAGCATTGAAAAAGCAGCAGAAAACTAACAAACATCAATAAAAAATTACGTAAATTTGCGACATAAACGTTTGTATGTTTTGATTGGGTTGGCTTAGAAGTTTTATTTTTTCACAGCACCTAGCGACCGCAGACCAGAACATTTGATATAAATTCCAGATTGATACCTTCACGCGTTTTAGAAAAAAAGGGTCTTGACTGACGGACGGACGGACAACAAAGTGGTCCTATAAGGGTTCCTTTTTTTCCTATGAGGTACAGAATCCTAAAAAAGAAGCAAACACAATAAACCTATTTTGTGACATGGTATTAGAGTATAGCATTCATCCTTAATTCTGGAGTCACTTTTATTTTCACATAACTTGAAAGAATCACTGTTACCTTTAAAATAATCAAGTTCTAGTGTACCTTTTCCTTTCCATAGATCTTCCATAATTCTTATTTGAGTTTTGCTTACTTCTTGCTAAGGATAACACTACTCTGCAGTAACAACACTTATTAACAAATGAAGTGTTAATACTTGTAAAGTACTACGCAATTATACATTTCCGATATTTAGAATTAAAGGTCTAATTATAAAAAATTACAATCCTTTAAAATGAAACGCATCGAACCGAAATAGCCAATTCAAGATGGACGGACTAGTTGTAAGGTTAATTTTGGTTTATTTTGTATATCAATATGTAAGCTGTAGTGAGATTGAATTTATTTCTTATCAGTATGAAAATAGAACAGATCCTGCAACACGACAGTTATATGAATTCAGAAAATATCACCCGGTACGTAATTTTGATTTTCTTTTCCTTTATTCTTGATGTTATTGCGGACTTTAATTTATTCAATCATCGCAAACAAATCATCGCAAACTTTTTTGTAGTAGTCATAGGTGTTCCCGCTGCTCGTTTGCCTTCTGTTATAAAAAAAAAACAATCAGTAACTATTTAAATATACAACATACTTTCCTATTTCAGAAGCCAATTGGCCTCATGACCACAAGTTTTGGACGGCCGGTTGAAATAAGAGACACTAATGCATTGAACACTGATTTATTCTCCAATTCTTATTTAACTGATTCCTCCATCCATACGAATGATGAAAGAATACCAGAAAGAATAGTACATGCAAAAGGTACAGCTGCCCTCGGCTACTTTGAAGTCACTAACGATGTATCTAAGTATACTAAAGCCGATGTTTTCAATGGAATAGGAAAGAAAACTCCAATTATTGGAAGATTTTCTACCGCAGTTCAATACAAAGGAGGAAATGATTTGGCAAGAGAAACCAAAGCTTTGGCTGTAAAATTTTATACCAAAGAAGGAAATTTAGACTTTCTTTGTTTAAATCAACCTATTTATTTTTATAAAGATCCAATACTATTCTCGCATTTGGGTCACGCGTTGAAGAAAAATCCGAAAACATTTTTATTTGATCACACCGCAGAAATAGATCTTATTAGTCTACGACCGGAGTTGCTACCTGCGTATTTATGGTCATTTTCTGATTACGGAATTCCTAATGGCTATAGAAAAATGGACGTTTTTCCAATACATACGTATGAAATACATAACAAACACGGTGAAAGATATTTTGTTAAGTTTAATTTAAGAAGTGAACAAGGCTTAGAAGTGTTGACAACTGAAGAAGCAATTGCTGTTGGAGCTCGAGATCCGGATTATTTTAGTAGAGATATATATAATTCTATTGAAGAAAAGAAATTCCCTTCATGGAAGTTAGAAATGGATGTTATATCTTTTAAAGACTTACCTAAAGTACCCTATAATATATTCCAAGTGAATAGATTTTGGAGAAAGGGTACTTATAAGACAGTGCAGATTGGTCGACTGGTATTCAATAGGAATCCTGACAACATGTTCCATACCGCCGAACAATCTGCATTCAACCCTGCAAACTTAGTTCCCGGTATCCCAGGGCCGGTAGACTATATATTCAAAACTCGAAGATTTGTGTACCCCGATGCTCAAAAATATCGATTAGGTGTAAATCACAATAAGATAGAAGTAAATTGTCCTTTATATCAAAAAGATTATAATCGTGATGGTGTTCCACCTTTAAAAGATAATATGAGAGATGTACCAAATTATTATCCTGATTCATTCAGTGGGCCAATATCGTACGTAGATGCAGCACGACCGGGGGAAAAAATTGTCGTATATGAAAGCAATGCTATTGATTTGGCAGAAGCGGCATACGTTTATAATGAAATTCTACGAAACGACACACAAAGAGATAGACTCGCAGCAAACGCAGCTAGGTTAGCTTTACCAGCACCACCTTTACTACAAAGAAGGTTTATTGAACTGTTATATTTAACTGATAAAGATTTAGGTGATCGAGTTTATATGGCACTCAAAAGAGCGTTGCAAGCTCAACCACCGCCATCCCCCGTAGGTTTGACCATTGAAAGAGAAGTATGTTCCAATTCTGTAAACGAAAACACTGTCAAAGATGATTATTATGAAAGAAAATAATAATAAAATATTTATGATGGTAACCACTGTTATTATTTTATAACCGACGTTTAAAAATCTAAATATAAAACAAGGTAATCGAAGATAAAGAAATCACCGGTTAAAGGTTCATCAATCTTCACATGCATATTGTGTACATTAAATATTGGATAAATCCCCAAACGTTGCATGAACTGCGTCTTTACAGAAATTACATTAATAAAATTGTTCCTGTTAAATAAATCTGTGTTAATTATCGCTGTTTACCGGAAAATTTAAATCATAATTAATGATATTTTTGTTGTTAAAAGAAGCATGCGAGCAATTTTCCGCCCATTTCCAGGTTGTTAGTAATTAAAGTCAATAATCGCTGCAAGAACCATATATTCTTTAAATAATAATTAGATGTAATAGATTGTTAGATACCTATTATAAAGCAACGGAAGCAGTTTAGATAAGAGTTTACATTCCTTTACACAAAACAGAACTCAGGGGTGAGACAAAATGCATTCGCTTTAAAGCGATTCCATAGCGAACTTCAAAAATGTATGTAACTGACGCGCGACAATTGACTTATCGAAAGTTATTGCCAGTTCCATACAAATTGGAACTTCTTTATGGAATCGGTTCAGAACGAATTCACTTTGTCTAACCAACCAGCTGTATCACAAAGGTAAAGGACAGTAAGAATAAAGAGAATGTACTATACGTAAATGTAAGTATTTTTTCTGTGCGTACTACTACACTTAATTTTTTAACGATCGTCTTTTATTTGTTTGTCGTCTCCTTTTTATATATATTCTTTCTCTGTCTACACAAATAATGAAACTTGCCACTTGAGTAGCAGTATACATACGTCACAGGATTCGTTCTATTTTTCCATAAAAAAATCTTACTTTACAGATATATCAGACACTTAATTATCAGGAATTTAATATGCAAATAAATATTAATAAAACATTAATTAAACATCTCTATATTTGAGTTGTTGCAGTAAAGAAAATTTTCCAATTTTTGAATCCTATAATCCGTTCTATAACTGTCGAGTCATTTATCCGAAGCGTTCAGAAAAACGTACTAAAATGTACAAGATAAATTTCAATATGAAAAGAATTCGTGAAACGTAAAGGGTAGCAACGTCGAGGGAAAACGTAATGAAATCGAGTTTCGAAATGTAAGCTTTCGCAATGAAAGCTTTTTATAGGTTTGTTACGATTTCGTAACGTCGCCCGCTTAAGGTTTCACAAATTATGATCGTCATTTAAAGCGATAATACGTTGTTTCTTTTTTTAGAATATGCCAGCAAGTTAAATTACAATTTTTATTTGTTTTGAAAGTTATGTAACATCTTTCTCTACGTTTTTTAGGGTGCTGTACCTCATAGGAAAAAAACGAAACTCTTATAGGATCACTTTGTTGTCCGTCCGTCTGTCAAGGCCCTTTTTCTCAAAAATGCGTGAAGGTATCAAGCTGGAATTTAATTATCCTTCCGTTGTAAATCAATTTTGTTACTGGTTGCCTTTTGCCCTATTTTATACTTACACTACACCACTAAGAATTAAAAGAAATTACTTCATTCATTCAAAGATTAATCGTTTTCTAAAAAAGATAGCATCATTAACTATCCCTTTGCTCAATAAAAAAATAGGCGTGCTCTAAGAGTCTGTACAAAGAGTTTTGTCAGAATATTTTATCGCATTCAAACACAGCGGTTGTAGAAAATTATAAAACAAACCATTTAATAAGCTACCTAAGTATCAACTTAATACGACGCAAAGTAAAACCCAAGCTTTGTCATTAAAGGGAGAAATATATCGCAGCGGACATTGAACTTTACTGCTAACACAATAAGGCTTAATTTATTGAAATTTGTTGGAATAGCTATATGTTGTTAAGACTTCTTATCAGTTTTCTCGATTGGCTTCGGAGGCTTTTGTTCTTTAAAATTAATGTTCGGTAGAAAAAGCTTATAAATGTTGTATTAGACTTTATATAATTTTAATTTAACAAGGATATAGGGTGTTCCATAACCTAGCAACTTCCAATAACTTCTACAAGAAGAAAAAAAAATAAAATTCAAAATTAGAATAATGATGGGATATTGCGTTAGTTGTCTATAATATTATTTTTCGCTGCCTCTTGTCGAGAGCGTCGACTTTCTTCGATCCCTCCTTGTGAATAAACAATGACAATTGATGGTCGCTGTTCTAGCGTGATCTATGGTCTATTGGCACAGACTTGCTATTTCGCAAATTGAACTTGAAAAAATAAAATCTCTGTCGTCTGCGCGCTATGCTATCATATAGATAAATGTTTGTTTCTTATCGAAAAATATTACAGCTGTTTCGCTTAATGCGATGAGTTTTAAAAAAATTAAAATAAAAAACAAATAAAAATTTACTGTTAAAAAACAAAGTAATTTATTTAACACAAGATAACGGAGAGAAAGTAAGGAGAAAAAAGGATGTAGGATTTCAAATGTTTTATCTCATTTTGTTTTAAAATAATTTAAAGTCAATGAATTAAAATTAGTAAAAAGCGAAAAGAATAACACGAATATTTCTCATGGTGGGCATATTTGTTCTTTGAGCGTGTTTATAGCACCCTCTCGTTGTTCGCCTGGCGCTGTGAGTCCAATGACTTTATTTTCTATGTTTATAAAAATGGTTACATTTTTATATTGGGCATATTATCCTCATGTCTACACAAAGAGGAAGACATTTGTTAGACGAGATTTAAAGGTTAATTTAGTTGTTTAGTGTGACGTCATATCGTAATGGCGTCGGACACATAAATCCCTAAACCGTACGACCGGCATAATTCACGGGCAGGCGAAACTGTAGGTCCACAAACGTTTTACGAGTAGCTAACCTAGGTAACATAATATTTTAATCAATCTTCGTCACATCAGCGAATTAAAATAATACGTCATACTTGTACAATGCAGCGAGAAACAGGAACCTATGACGTCACAAAGCCTTACATAGTTATCAAAAATAGAAAAGCTTACTAATATCTAACTCTTATTAAAATTACAAATGCGAAAGCTTGGATGAACGGCTGGATGGATGATTGTTAGAAGTGTCATCGGATCGACTCAATGGATCGTGATGTAATTTGGCACAGATGTAGAACATATTCTGTAAGAACACATAGGCTACTTATTGTTTTCTTAAACCCGCGCGGACTGAGTAACGGTCAACAGCCAGTATAACTTCGACTCTGTACAGGAATATTATCATCAGCTGAACTGCTTCCAAGTATCTCCCAATACTTCGACAGACTGCAAAATATTGTTAAGTGCTTACATATTTTAAGTTTCAAAACTAATAAGTAACTAGATTCAGTAGCATACTTAACAAACTTACAAAATCATAGTCGGCTTGTTACATATGCGAGAGTTTGTTGAACAACAGGCGAATTCGTGAAAGCAAACATCTAATCAAATCACGTCGGTGTCCCATCTATGTAACCTTGCTTGTCCTACCCTGACCTTACAGGCAACTAAAATATAGTGGATATTGATTGCTCAAACATTAATACAAAAACATGTCATTATACGTTTTTTTTAATTAAATAAGATAACATTAATTTTTAGGAGATAGAAACCTATATGATAACGAAATGGTGAAAATTTAGTATACTATTTATAAACAAGACGACAAAATGTTTTTTTTTTATTCCAATTCATTATGTTTCAAACCTTAATTTACTTATTTACCATCTTTCATACAATATACCATCAATCTGTATTAATTCCTTTATACGTATATTAAAAAAAACACTATTATATATTTATATATCACAAAAGTACAGAAATCTCATTTCAATCTTTCAATGTAGAATAACAAAGACACAATTACTTAACTTATTCAAGAAAACAAAGGAAAGTGTCGCCGTGGACATTTCCCTTGCTTCAAATGTTTTTACTTTGCGTTCAATCTAATTTACTGAGTTACTTTATTCGATGTTTTCGACCTCAGTAAATTTCCTTAAGATTAGAATCATCATCATCAGCTCACTATACGTCCCCACTGAAATGCTCGGAGCCTACCCTAAGTTAAGGGTGATTAGGCCATAGTCAACCACGCTGGCCAAGTGCGGGTTGGTTGACTTCACACATATCATTGAATTTCTTCTCAGATATGTGCAGGTTGCATCACGATGTTTTCCTTCACCGTAAGAACGTCGGATAAATGTACATATGTAAATCGAAAATCGAAAAACACATTGGTACATGGCGGGATTCGAACCCAGGACCTGCAGATTGCAAGCCAAGTACTTGACCACTGAGCTACCGACGCTCGTAAGATTAGAATAGAATAGATTTAACTACACTATTGCTGCTATTAAAGTCTAGCTAAACGAAGATTTATGATAGTCTAGATAGAATATTGGATATTGTTGTAATAACTGTCTTGTTAAAGACAATGAGAGGAAGGAAGACATGTTTTATACAGAGATTTTAGTCTCAGAAACCCTTGGTAAAATATAATCATACTAGTATTATAAATGCGAATGTTTAATAGATGAATGGATGTCAAATATCCAGGTATCTCCAAAACGGCTCAACGGATCTTAACGATATTTAGTCTTATAACATAGTCTAGAAGAACACATAGGATATTAATTATGTGCTTTTAATTCCGCGCGCACAGAGTCGTGGACGACAGCTAGTCTCTTTATAAATAGAAGTAGCGTGAAACTCAGTCCTAGTTGGACTATCGATCATGCATAGTACGGCCCGAGGGAGTGCTCTAAATGTTAATTGAGTCAGATAATGATTGGCCGCAAGCGTGATCTGTTACCCAATCTAATCCAGATCGTAAAAATAAACGACTCTCCGGGTTTCTATTAAAGGAAATATTGGAGGCCACGCTACTCTGGTAATAAACATCGATTATTTCGAACACGGATAGAATGAGATTTAATTTGTTATAGTTATAAATATGCATTCGTTTTTCAATAGTTTTGACTTTAGGACTTGACTACTCGTTATACTCGTAAAAATAGTTTCTAAT